TATTTGACGTATTATTTTTTATTTTAAGAATATTTCTTTTTTTTGGCAAACTGTTAGTAAATATAGTTATAGGTAAATCGATTCTCTAATAATAAATACAATAATGCAAACAAGTTTAAAACGAATACTACATATTAAATTCTTGAAGAAAGATCAAAGATTAAAATATGTAGATATTTATTTTAGACTATGTATGTAACTGTCAAAATGAAAGAAGAATACATTCTCTTTCTGAAAGAACACTGTAAACTCTGGGATAGAGGTCACGACCCCTAAGCGAAGGGAGAACGATTAAAGGATAAACAAAAGCCATTGGTCACTTTCTTATAACTATCGATACAAAACGTCACTTCCTAGGGGGAGGGTCCGAACCTTTGTTCGAGGGCTGGGATTCCCTTCACCGCTCTCTTCGGGAGTTGCGAGGTTTGGATTTTGTTTTACTATCGGACGGTGGTATAGAATAGACTCCGGGGAATAGTGACGTCACCGTCCGTGTTCAAAAGCTGCGAGGTTTGGGGTCCAGGTGTCTAAAAGATCGTTCGCTAAAAAAATGCAGTTTTTTCTAACTTTTTTAAAACATAAATTTTAATGAGTTGCAATTTCGTTTTATATTTCGATTTGATACAGAAGAATTATTTAAACAATGTGATATATTTGCCGCCTTTTTTATTTGGTTATAATCGCCCATTTTAGTAATCACTTTTCAAAGCTTTCGATAACATCGTAAATCCATTTTCGGAACTTTTTTCTGTTACAGTTCATGAAATTGATTTTTTTTATAGTTTTTAAAATAACGACACTCAAAATTTGAATCACGCATTTGATAATCACATTTTGATGCTCCCGATTTGTGTCAATACAATCGTAAATCCATGTAGTGTTCCGATCGTTTTATTTGCTATTATCGCTGCGAGTTTTCTCAATGTTTTTTTTTTTATCTCTATATTTTTTATACATTATTCTTACGACACGTAAAATTTAATTCGTGCATTTTTTAGATGTTTTTTGACGCTACGTTACCAATATATTTCGATCGAATCTTTCACAATTATTTCTACGGATATTTTCAAGTGATGTTATTAAGAAATAAGAAATCGCATATGTGAGTAATTATTTTTTAATCCGATCGATTTGAGCTAAATCTATCAATAATTTATTTTTGGTAGTTATTGCTGTTGCTTTTCACATGATTTTTTAAAATCCCGATATTATTATGATACAAGAAATTCAAATAGTATCTACACCTTAGTATTCACTGTTTGACACGATAATTCTATAGTTTTTTCTATAAATTTTTCGTCAGTTCGATTTCCGCATATTTTTTAAAATCTCGATATTTTTAATATAATATTATTTATTACAAGGCGTGAATCTTGAAACTTTCATTTAGTTAGCCCCATTTAGATGCGTTCGATTCGTAGGAAAAAAATTTCTATCCCAATCTGACTTTTTCCAGTTATTATCGTAGATTCAACGATTTTTTAAACAGGATTCACAATTTTTTTTCCTTTGCTGCGATGACGAATCAAAAAGAGTATAGAAGGAGGAATATGCCATTTTTTTTTCAATACAAATTTTTGTTATGCATTGATAAAAAAAAATTATCATATAAATGACGATCGAAATGGGCTACAAGCGGTAGAGCAGAACTCTTTTCCTATGGCAACACTTTAAATGCTTTCACCCATAGCGTGTGGAGAGTCATAGGAGAAGTAAGTAAGTTAGTTTTTCTCTTGATTTTTAAATAAATTGAAAAATTTTAAGCTGGGAAACTATTCGGATCCGAAAACTATATTGAACATAGTCAGGACAGGAAAGGGTCAAGACATGGAACCAGTCTTCTTCCCAGATGGCGTATTCGATCGTTGCTATCGCGAAAATTATTTTTTATTTCTTCAAATTTTATAAATATTACTTTTGACAAAATGAGTCTTTATTATCCCATTGTGAATCTCTATAGAGTTGCTCCCTGGGCTATTGGTAACTGTAGTGCGACGTAAATAAAGTACTTACCAGCTAAGGTTTATTCTAACTGTAAGCAAAGAACGTCTCTTTTTACGTATGTATTTATATATATATGTATTATTTTAATATATATGCGAGTTTTTCACATGCAATTCATGTATCTCATTAATATTCGCGATCGCAATGATCGAATATGCCATCTGAAGAGGCGTGTGACCGGTTCAATGTTTTGACCCGCCTCCTCCTCTTCTCAGTTGTGGAGGAATGTGTTGTGATATTTTCCCTTTTCTTAATATTTTTCGTATTTAACTAATAAAAATATCTTTTAAAATTTCCACTATGTTTTCTTAAAAAACTATGTTTTATATAGTTTTCAGTTGAATACAGTTTCCTAACTTAAAAGTTTTTAATATATTTCAAAATCAAAAGAGAAACTAACATACCTCTTTTCCTAAGACTCTCCACAGGATAATGGTGAAAGCATGTGAGTGTCAATATAGGTAACGAGTTCTGCATTCAGCCACTTATAGCATATTTCGATCGTCAATATTGCACCTACAGCATTATAGATGGTTGACTGACTGTAAACAATAACAAGCTTTCTAAAACAGGAAGAAATTTAGGATTTTTTCGGTGCAGTTCACCTTTTATGCTATGCTTACGAGGTGATGTAAGAAGAGGCTTAATATTCTAGGAAGTTTCATTATGGTGTTTTGTGTTTAAATGTATGCGTAATTTTAGAATTCGGTAGAGTTTTCGGTAGTTTGTAAATTCCAACAGATCGTGAGCCTAACTCAAATTTAACATTAATATGACAGCATAAAGAAGTGTAAAGTTAGCCATGTTTTGATTGTTATCCCTTATTTGGCTACATTTGTGTAAAATAGCACCGTTTGTTATTTTTTTGGATAGCATCATACTAAGCTTGCGGAGTCTTCCGAATTCATTTGTTGTTTGTTTCGTTGGAAGTTAGATAGAAAAAATGCGTGACATTGGAAACACTACTGGTATAATAATATTGGATGGTGCGTTTTTTCAAGCTTAGGCGGAAAAATCAGTCGAAAGTAGTAACCCGGAAGTCTTGCGACGAATTTTAACTCCTAGCGCTATCTGAGCTTAGCTTTACACGATCAACCATCCATATTTTATGCAGTAGGAATGGTCCTTAGCGCCGTAGTTGCTGATATTATTCTAGAAAGTTAGGATCAACACTTTCAATCGAAACAGAAACTTTTTGTTTTGATTTGATATGACGTCAGATGTTTTGGGAACTGAAACTTAGCAAGAAAATTTCTGTTTGTAATATGGTATTAAATGTAATTTATTTTATAGGTTTTATAAACCCTGTTACGTGTAATTTAAGATGACTGTGATATTTCATTTGTTTAATGTCTTCAATATTATGCATTTATTCTCTTTTCTTTACAGAAAACGTGTACACCAAATTTGTACGTCATACGTAAATCCGTATTCATCTTATTAACTTTGTAAATAAACTTGTGTGCTCAGTGCAGAACGGGAATATCCCGGAACAGAGCTTTTGTTAGTGTCAACGTTGCTTTATTTATAGACGTAAGTAAATAATTTACAGTATAATGCATTATATTTATTTATAATATAAAATATAGTGCTATTGAAGTTATATTAATTTATGAACTGCATATTTATAAAATTTACCTTCCATTTAATTATTTGTTTTCAAGAAATATTAGAGTAACTTGTTTCTTAAGCAGTATATTTTAAATTAAAGATATTTATTTACTGGATATTTTATCTGTTATATAAAATAAGGAATAATTATACTTTCATGTGTATGAAATCTTCCATTAACTAATTAGAAATGATTTATTAATCTTATTTAAAAAAAATTTCATGACATTTTGTGGAAAATGTTTGAAAATAAATGAGTGCTTTTTGTTATCCATGTAAAAATTCAGATATATTTCTGTATAATGATTTGTCACGTCAACTACAATACCCAAGACTCAAAATAGATTTTAAACTTGATATTTTTTTGAAAAAGTATATTTAAAAACTAGATGTTTGAGACACATCTAGTTTCTTTCAGTGTTTTTTTTTAGTTGCTAGGGCTTTGCAATTACTCTGCTGCAGGTCACAATCTAAATCTTCCCAAGAATTCAACTCTTATTAGTTACTCTTTATTTACTTGGAAGTCGCATTTTAATGCCCAGGTAATTTTGTTCTTTAATATGTATTGAGAAAATCTACAAGTCTATACTTCTTTTGACAATTATTAATTGTCATGAAGCAGCCCTTGAAATATCTATCTACTTGTTATTTGTGACTGAATAATGACTGACGTGCAAATTTTGTATTGTCCCGTTCCTGTTAAATATTGTTTCAAAACATAATTTTTCCAAGACTGTGTTGTGGGCAGGGTTTGAAAAAACCCGGGGATTTTTGAAAGAACCCAACCCACCTGGGTTTTATTGAAAAAACCCGGGGAAAATTGGGTTTTATTTGAAAAAACCCGGGGAAAATTGGGTTTTTTCATTTAGTGCTCATAAATTTTACTGTGAAAATATTTTTATTTATTAAATAGTGTTGTATAAGTAAACACTAAAATTTCATCTGACTTTTACCTGTAATAAAATTAAACTGGAATAAATATTTAATGGTCTTCCATGTTTTTATAATACGATTAATAGAAAGTGAAATTAAAATTACGTATAATTATAAAGAGTATCAGTTACTTGTCCCTTTTTTCAAATATTTAGATAAATATATGCATTTTTAGATACATTTTAACTTTATAGTTTCAAAAGACAAATTAATCTTAAAATTATAAAAAAGCATTTATAAAAAGTTATAGCTTATTTTTTTAAAATCAGAAAATAAAACTTTAAATTTGTTTATTGTTGTTTAATGTATCACTTAATAGAAATTTTTTTTTTTTTGCTTTCATTATTTTAAACATGATTAAAAGAAACAAAATAAATTGTATTCAAATGAAATCTTAAAAATAATATTTAAAAAATCTTAAAAGTAATATTTTAATTTTTAACTGTTTTTTAATTGTGATAAACTTTCTCCAAATAGTTAAAAATTGTCAGCAGATGTTAAGAGTTAACTTAAAAAAAAAGGTCCATTTTTTCCTTTATTATTATTATCATACAACAGATTCAAAGTGTCTACATTTCTCTCTTAGATGGTGATACACTTTTACGAGTTTTGTAGCTTTATCTATTCCTAATCTATTTCGAAGTTTACTCTGCACCAAACCGAAAGTTGAAAAGTGTCTTTCGATAGAGACAGAGGATGCTGGTGCTGAGTGCAAAGAAAAAAGAATTGACAGAAATTTTGTGGAAGCTAGGAATTTTATTTATTTACTTATTTATTTATTTTTTTTGCCATAATTTTCCACTATTTTTTGATGAAAACTGTTCAATAACAGTGTCAAGCATCATTGATTTTGGAAAGTATTCAGGATCGGAAATTTTGGATGCCATAACACGTGGCAGAAATTCTGGATGATGCTTAGAAAGACAGCTTTCTGCTAATTGGTCTTGTTCATCATTTAAAAATTGTCCCCTTGTTTCGGGATCCAGGATGCATATGCTAATAAATGATGTGGCTGAACAGCCTGATTGAATCTTTTTACAAAATGTGTATGGGGTTCTAATTCATCACACGATAGTAAGTTAATTCATATTTCAACAGCTTCTGAAATTGAAATGTTTTCTGATTGAAGCTTTTTTAAAGCTTAAGAAACAATTGATATCTGTTTTTCCCAATTGATAGTTTATTGGTAAAGCCCAACATTATTTAATATTTTTGACATATTATTATTAGATTCATTTTGATGTTCAAGAACAATCTCTTCATATTTATGGTAATTATTGGCAAAAGTTTTTACGTGCTCACAATATGAATTCCACCTAGTATCATTGGGTCATCAAGCAGTTTTTTTCATTTGCCCATCCATGTGCTTGATGCACATTTCTAAAATATTTGTTAACTTCAACGATGTGTCCAATGATAGTATTAGGAGATACTTCTTTTTGAACCAAATTTAAAAAAAAAAAAAATTTGTGAAAAAAACCACCAAGTGGGTTTTTTCAAAGTGGGCCCACTTGGGGAACCCTGGTTATATGTATTTTATATTAAGTTTAAATAACGCATTATCACTAATACATATTTGAATCTTCTTTATTTTTAAGTACATTACGTTTCATAATTTTTTAACTCAAGAATTATAAAATATAAATGCAGTAATATAAAAGGAACAAGTTTATTAATCTTTTTGTTTTCACACACATTTATTTACTATATTTATTAAACATATGGATATTACCCATTATAAAATTATAATCTGTAAATATTTATAATCAGTAAAAACTAAAATTTCATCTGACTTGAGTTAAATAAAAAACTGAAATAAATATTTAATGGTCTTACATGTTTCTATAATAAGATTAATAGAAAGTGAAATTAAAACTACGTATAATTATAAAGAGTATCAGTTACTTGTCCCATTTGTTTTCAAATAATTAACCCTAGAAAAGGATTTCATTTTTAGATAAATAATTTTAAAAAGTTCTCCTATAAAAAGTTTTAGCTTTTTTTTTTCTTAAGCTAGAAAATAAAACTGTTTAAATTTGTTAATGTATCACTTGGTAAAAAAAGAAAAAAATTGTTTCTTTTCAATTTTTTTTAATATATTATATTATTATATTACCTGTATGTATTATATTACCTGTTTATTAATATATAAAGCATGCAACTATAGTTGAAAAATTGATCTTTTCAGACTATATTATTTAAATTTTTATTTGATTTAATATCATTAAAATATTACTTTTTTGAAAAAACCCACTTGAAGTTTTCAATAGCACCTACTATAAAAATTATATGAATATTTGAGTTTCTTTTACTTTACTAATATTAAAAACTTAATCATATAAATCATGCAACTCTATTTGACAAATTTATGCTGCACAATAAATTATATAAAAATAAATGTGAAACAATAAGTTTTAGTAAAAAAAAAAATTTTTTTTTTTTTAAAAAAACCCACTTATCGTTCCAAGTGGGTTTTTTCAAGGTGGGCCCACCCAATAAAACCCGGGCGGGTTTTTTCAAAGTGGGCCCACTTGGCGAACCCTGGTTGTGGGCAAATAGGGTTCAAGAGTTGATGATTTAAGTAAGAGGGAGCTTAATTATACAGACTCTAAAATATACATTCTGAAATCTATATCATCTGTGTTAAAATCCTTGCCTGTTTTTGATCCATTAAGTTGGCCTTGCAAAGAAAAAATTCTTGAATTTGGGATAAATGCTATAAAGTGTTTTTCATGTAATTAAATTCAAGTCTCTTAAATGAACTAGAGGATGATTTGTTGGCCGAATTTGAGTTTTATTCACTTGACTCAGGGATGCTTCAGGGTAATACTAACCGTACTTCTCTTTAAGCTGTGTTCTGTCTATTATGACAAATGAATCATCCCTCTTAGGATGGCATGAGCACTGGTAGAATAGCATTAAAATGTTATGTTGAACATATTTAAGAATCTCTCTGGGCATTCTTCAAGTTCATTCTTCTTTGCGTTTATTCTTCTTCATATTCTTCATATTCTTCTCTCAGAACATTTTTCACTGCTCTGAATTAGTGTTAATGAAGTGGACATAAATTTGAATTTTGCTCTTCCAACACAGCATTCTTTACCTTCTCTATCCTAAATTCAAGAATTCTTTTCTTTGGAAGGCCAACCCAAGGTTTTTAAAACCCGCAAATTCAGAGCCGGATTATACCTTTTGTAGGCCCTAGGCATAGCCGTTTTTGGGCCCCCCTCCTTCCCCCACTCCTCCCCTCTTTTCAAAATATATGCTAAAATTTTCTTTCATATTTTTTTTAAACATTTTTATTAATATGGATTTTAATTTACAAATTTGTTTATCAAACTTTATCTGCAATAATGACATACTGCCCATATTGCAGTTGATATCGATAATACCATTATGATTAGTTCGATCGATAACTATGTAAACACTTCACGCCAACAATACAACAACAAACCAGCAAAGAAAACAGTGAAATTGATAGTGAGATTAATTACAAGAAATATTTACGCCATTTTAGATGTATTAATTTCAGAAATGACTAAAAGGCGTAAAGCTTACAGTGATTCGTACGATAATGTCGGTTTTCTTGTTACAAAAATTTGTCAGAATCTGAGATTAAACTAAAAGCGCAAAATTTGGCGAAAATTTACTCATCCGATTTAGAGGAAAACTTTGTAGATGAATTTTTGATTTCAAATTTGAATGAACATAAATCTGCACAAGAAATGTTGAAGACTCAAATTAAAGATAAACTTGTGAATACTTTTCCTAACGTTCACATTGCATTAAGAATATATTTGTCGATTCTTGGATCAAATGCAGAAGGAGAAAGATCCTTTTCCAGATTATAATTGATAAAAAATTATTTGCGTTCAACAATGAATCAAGATCGTTTGGCATCGCTCGCACTTATGTCTATTGAATACGACATTTTGCGTAGTTTGGAATTCGACAGCATAATACAAGATTTCGTTGAATCTAAAAAAGTA